GATAGCTAGATCAACAGATAGATAGATACATAGAAGATAGGCTGGTAGGTAAGTAGATAGTCAGAGAAAGAGAGAAAGAGAGGAGACCTCAAGCACCTTTCGGTCCATCAGTGGCTTCGCTCTGCCATCCCTGATTCACAAGAACCAAGCTCTCCTGGCTCTCCTATAGGTTTCCTATTTTTGAAACTTCCGCCACCGTCTTGTGCGGTACTACTGGTACATACATACATACATACAAACAAACATACAAACATACATACACATACACATACACACGCACACTCACATACATACATACATACTTACTTACATACATACATGCATACATACATACATACATACATACATACTTACATACATACATACTTACATATGTATACATTTATGTATATGTATAATATCTCTTTCGCATGTATACACAGACATGCACACAGCCGCCTCACAGCTTTGACACCTTTAATTTGCATCTACAAGTGTAGAATCCTGGAAAGCAACCAACATTTGATTGGGTGTCCAGTACCCGCTTTCGGCTGGGTGTGGTAAAGGGGATGAAGGAGGATGAAAGTTCGCTTGGCATGTTATGTTGACTTTAACTGCATGGTTGCCTTGTGGGTTCCGTTCAAAGAGGTGGCCAAGGATTTCATTATCTTCGGGCGGTAGTATTTCTTTACCATTTCTTCGTTTTCCCAGTAGCGATAGCTATAGGCTATAAGGGTTTTACATTGTACATGCGGGTGCTGTCGGGTCAACACCGCCTCTGTGGTGATCTGGTGGTCATAGTGGTGTCTTGTGGTCTCCGTTGGATGGTGGGGCCTCGGTTTTGGTGTCCCGTTGTGTCATGGTGTTGGTGCGCCTCCGTCCCAGTGTGGTGGTGCATACGGTGGTGTGGAGTGGTGGCAGTAGTGACAGTGGTGACAGTGAAGCAGTGGTATAGTGGTGGTGATGGTGGGATGTTGTTGGAGACTGTTGCAGTCGGACAACTGTTTCCGTTCGTGTGTTGGACCACTGCCCATATCCGGCCCCGTGGTATCATGCACATTTTCATAAAATATGGGGTGGAGGGTGGGAGGGGAGTGTGGGTGTCTAATCACTTAGACTGCGCTAAAGACTTCCTGCCTGGATTTGCGCATGTGCTTGATACTACACTAGAGACTTCCTGTCTGCACTTGCAACCGTGCTTGATATCGCGCTAGAAGCTTCTTGCTTGCCCTTGCACATGTACAGTAGTTTATATATACTACGCTAGAGACTTCTTGCTTAAACTGGCACATTCAGAGCACGAATAGTTAAAAGACGTGCGCGAATATCCCTGCCAGGCATTTAAACACTTTTGTCATCCAAACTCCAGACAAAAAAGAATTCACCCAGATGCGGGCCTTCAGCAGAACACCAAGTGGTACTGCTTTCCGGAACCAACTATCTCGGATGGTCCATGCTCAAATGGACGAGCTACGAGTGCAACTTTGAACTTGCCGAGCTACGAGCTCGGAGCCAAGGTTGGCCATCGCACTTCGGCAGGCGCAGGGCGCTGATGAACTTTGCTCCGAAAGATACATCTGGCAAATTGAATCTAAGCTTCACACCCAGCTTCTTGTCGAAGCAGTCAAAAACGTTGATTGCTGTTGGTTGTGTGTCGTATCTTCATTTACTTGGGCAGATTCGTGATTTGCGACCAATAGCTAAAACCTTTGACGGAGCTGCTGGGGGCCCAAGGTTCACAAGTAGGCACGCAGAAAAGCAGAAGACCTTACTTCCAAACTTACTTCGACGATTTGACAATGATCGGTGACACTTCAGTTTTGGCTGGCCATGACGTTGTCTTGCGGATGATCCGCAGGCTGCGCAACTTGTACGGTGTAGCAGTGATCCGCGGTTCAAAACTGCTGGTAGGTAGACCACTTTGATCTCCGGCTTACAAACATTGAACGGGACCACAGGAGAAGCTTTTCACAAGCTTTGCACAAGCTAATGCTTGAGCTTCGCGGGAGCTGTAAACATCTGCAAATTGACTCTGGATGTCCACTCTGAAGGATGCTTCGCGCCCGCCGCCGCATCGTGCAAGCCAAAACACCCCATCTTGGCGCAAGCATGCAAGCGCCCCGCTGAGGTCGCGCGAGCGTTGTGCAAGCGACCGCAAGCGTTCGCTCAAGAGTTCGCGCAAGTAGGAATAATTTCCAGTCATTTTAGAACAACACTGCCCGTAGACTCTCGGGGTTCCTTCCAGTCTTGGATGCCAAAAAAGTTTGCTCGCGTACTTCTGCCCATTTTGCCCAACTTGTCCCCCACTTTAACAATGTGCGAGGATGTTCTCCACTTGTCCCACAACTGCTCCCAACTACTCCCAACTGCTTGTCCTCCCTACGACTGTCCTCCAAATCTCACAGTTGCTGTTTCGGATGCTGAGGGTTGATGTGAAGGTTTGCGACCATTGTTTTTCTTCAAGATACTGGTCCACCATGACCGGCATTTGTTTGTGAAAGCCCCCACTTGATCAGCACCTCCAACTTGACCAAGATTTGGTGGATGTCACACTTCCTGCACACTTCTTCACTCACGACGCTGATGTTTGCACCTCAGATCTTGGTGGTAGAGCCCTCGTACAACAGAAGACACATCAAGATCCATCTACTTTTCTTTTTAAATCATGTTTTATCGATGTTTTGGTTTTGTGAACGCCACCGAGGAGTTCACAAAGATTCGACGCAAGAAACTTTCATCATAGCATCAACAGAAGTTCTGTCACCGATTTGATCCTCTTTCCTATAGATTTCTCTTTGAATGTATGGACTATATAAATCTATATAATATGAAAGAAGCATCATGCAGGATTGCAGTATATAAGTCTGCTGTGTCATACATCGTCAAGTTGGGTGGTTTCAGCGCACTTCTTGAGCTTGCAAAGTGTCATGATTGTTTCATGCCAAGACTGGGCGAAGTTCCGTGGCATGCTGAGAGACCGCAGAGATTATTTGTCAAAGTATTGACAATGCATTGACTGAGTACTAGAGAATAAAGGAAAGCAGCTCCCAAACCCCCCAAAAAACATAAGTAAAAAATGACTTAACCCCAAAAAATGACACCCGATTCTCTTTGCGGTGGAAGGGAGCGGTTTTCCCTTTCGGATAAACATTGTGTAATCTTATTTCTTGACCCCTTGCTTCAATTCTTTGGAAGAAATGAAGTCTGATGATGCCGATGGAACAGCATGCCATCGCAGTCCTTCCGTAGACTCACTGAGGTCCTCCCGAAGGTCTGCACTTGAGGCAATTTGCATAGGTTGATTGCGGCTTGTTGTGATTCAAGGAACTCTGACTCTGCCATACTTTTTCCGCTTCTTCTTTCCCTTTAGACTGTTGTGTCTTGTTCTGGCCTGCCTGCCTAAGAGGAATGTCTTGAATGGTTCTGCCGCAAGGGACAAGGCTTTCCGAATGGAATGAATCCATTGGGCCCTTTGGGTATGCTTGGGGATGATGCAAATCTGGCTTGGTTGCTGGGAGACAGACATGTGCAAGGCATTGCCCTGCAACAGCCAAGTAGAAATTGGAGCAGCGCTGTTCAAGCAGATTTTTCTGGCTGACTTGGCTTTGATTCGTACCTCTCTGACCATCTCTGACCTATATTAATATATATTAATATATATTTAATATTCAATTCATCAGGGCGTGCCAGCCCCGCCAGGGTGGTGAGCCTGGTGAGCCTGGTGAGCCATTCAGCACGGAGGTGCGTCTTGACGTTTCACGTTGTGCCATGTGAACGGCGACAGGATGCCAGAGCAATACAGGGCGAACACGGGCGATGGGAGAAAATGGCGTAGTATGGCGTAGTCCTACAAAAGTATAGTGGCTCATAGTGGCTCCAATTTGAAAAGTACAGGTTCAATATGGTCAGAGTGAATTTGGCCAAGTCGGAGAAGGGTTGGTACAAAACAAAACAAAGCATTGTTCATCCTGACAATCACTGCTTGATTCTAAAGACCTGGTGTTGGGCCCCAACAAGATGCACGATATTCGCAACCACAGTGCCAATGAAGTCCGGGACGTGCATAGTGAAACCACGCGAAACCTAAGATCAATAATTTTAGTCAGTGATGCAAGCATTGCAAGGCAGCTTTTCAACTGCTGGACGCGCTGCAGTTTTTGCAAAGGGAGGCAAGGTGGGCCAAAAATATTGGCCAAAGGACGCGCAGAAGTACGATCAAAGAATGTTAAAGATAGACACTGTATACTTTTCCGATCCCCTGTGTGCGTATCAACATGCATACATACACCAGTAGTACCCGCGCGAGATGGGGCGGAAGCTGCCTTAGGGTTAGACTCTATACTATAACACCTTTTTCATCTATAGAACTTGCACGCGCTGTGCGCCAGCCAGGCCCGTGCGTGTTTGCTTTGTGCGACAGCGATACACTGTTCCAAAGGTCGCACTTGAAACTCCACACTTCACACTTCACACCGCGCTCTTCACACATCATACGTCGCACTTACACTTCACACTTCGCACTCCACACTTCATCTCATCTCATCTCATCTGAGCTCTTCTCAACTCATCTCAGCTCTTCTGCACGTCAGAAAGCTTTTACTGTCAGAGAGTCTCTTGCACACAAGAGCCATTGCGCGCAGAAAGCTGCTTTTGCACACAGAAGCTTGAGATACAGATGCGTTTACACAGAAAAGCTTGGCCTTTACACACAGAAAGCCTATGCACATGAGAAGTTTTTAATATTTTTACACACAGCACGCTTTTATACAGAGAAGTCTTTACACAGAGAAGCTTTTACACAGAAGCTTTTACACAGCACGCTTTTACACAGAGAAGCTTTTACACACAGCAAGCTTTTGCACAGAAAAGCTTTTACAATTTTACACAGAGAAGCTCCGCAGCGAAGCTTTTACACAGAAAAGCCTTTAAAGACAGATGCGCTTACACACGAAAGTTTTGACACAGAGAAGCCTTGACACACAGAAGCTCTTACGCACAGAACCTTTTATATACGTACTAGTTTGCGCAAAAAAAATCCGAGTATTACTTTGTGCTACAAAGCTTGCACAAACCACTTCCCAGTACATACTACTTTGTACTACAAAGCTTGCAGCTTGCACAAAGCACTTCTCAGTACTACTTTGTACTACAAAGCTTGCGCAAAACACTTCCAAGTACTACTTTGTACTACAAAGCATGCGCAAAACACTTCCCAGTACTACTACTTTGCACTGCAGAGCTCGCAAAAAGGACTTTCCAGTACTACTTTGTACTACAAAACTTCCACAACGCACTTCCCAGTTCTACTTTGTATTACAAAGCTTGCACGAACCACTTCCCAGTATTACTTTGTATTACAAGACTTGCGCAAAGCACTTCCCAGTACTACTTTGTACTACAAACCTTCCACAAAACACTTCCAGGTACGACTTTAAACTGCAAAGCTGGCACAAAGTACTTCACAGTACCACTGTGTATTAGAAAGCTCGCGCCAGTAATATTTGTACTACAAGTCTTGCGCAAAGTACTCCCCAAGACGACTTTGAACTACAAAACTTGCACAAACCACTTCCCAGAACTACTTTGTACTACAAAGCTTGCACAAAACACTTCCCAGTACTACTTCGTACTACAAAGCCCGCAAAAGGATTTCCCAGTACTACTTTGGAATGCAAAGCTCGCAAAGTACTTTCCAGGATTACTGTGTACTACAAAGCTTGCAGAAATCACTTCCCAGTACTACTTTGTATTGCAAAGCTCGCATTAAATACTTCCCAGTATCACTTTGCACTACAAGGCTTGCGCAAAATACATTCCAGTACTATTTTGCAGTACAAAGCTTGCGCAAACCACTTTTTCACACATCAAACTTTTACACACACAACGCATTTAGACAGAGAAGCTTCTACACAGGACGCTTTTACACACAGAAAGCTTTTACACACAGCAAGCTTTTACACTAAGAAGTTTTTACACAGAAAAAACTTTTACAAACAGCAAGTTTTTTTACAGAGAAGCTTTCTTGTACATAGTAACAGCAGAAATTGCAGCTCCAAAACTGGGTCTTGGCCTTGGCACCAAAGCTAAAAAAATGACGATTTTGAAGCACTTTTTAAAAGGCATTTTAACAGGAAAATCATCAGCGCCAAAATTGAGAAATTCTGCTGACAGATCACTATCGCAACCTTGATGCAGCCGCTCCAATATGCTTCACGACTCTCAGCTGCAAAAGACAACCGTATTACGCAGGCAGCTGCAGCAGTGAGGAACCTTGATGCAGCCATTACAGTGCGATCTGCAGAGACAGAGTTGCAAAGCACAATAGAACCACGCGCAACGGCGTCCTAAATTGCCACTCCAAAACCGGATCTCGGTGCCAAAGCGGGAAAAAGGACGATTTTGAAGCACTTTTTAAAAGAATTTTAAAAGGAAAATCACTAACGCCAAAATTGAGAAAATCTTCTGACAGATCACTATCGCAACCTTGATGCAGCCACTCCAGTACGATTCATGGCTCTCAGCTGCAAAAGACAATAATGTTATGCAAACAGACGCAGCAGCGAGGAACCTCGATGCAGCCATTACAATGCGTTTTGCAGCATCACGTGGCAAACCCGCATGCATCCACGCACAGGGCAACAGAACAAGGCAACAATCAATTGATTGATGTCATGCAGCCATCACACTGCGATCTGCAAGCACAGGTTCCAAAACACCCCGTAGCCACACGCACATGAACAACCACACGTTGCAGAACACCAAGGAGGAACCGATTCGCGCTGGAACGACCCCAGCGGCACCCGCCTCAGACACGAGCTGCCCGTCATCGCCCGCTGCAGCCATTTTACCCGAAAAAACGCCATATCTAATTTTGTGCCCCAGCTTCCTTCCCAAAACAAACCCCATGCCACCTTCATGCAGCCATCACAATGCGTTTTGCAGCATTCCTCTAAGTCTAAGTCACCACTTCCCTTAGTCACCGCTTCCCCAAGCCACCAATTCCCCTAGCCTTAGTCACCACTTCTCTAAGTCACCGCTTCCCTTAGACACCACTTCCCTTAGTCACCACTTCCCTTAGCCACCACTTCCCTAAGGCGCCACTTCCCTTAGTCGCCACTTCCCTGAGTCACCACTTCCTTCAGTCATCTTCCCAAAGTCACCACTTCCTTCAGTCACCACTTCCCTTAGTCACCACTTCCTTCAGTCGCCACTTCCCTAAGTCACCACTTCCCTCAGTCACCGCTTCCTTCATTCATCACCAAGTCACCACCTCCCTTAGTCACCACTTCCCTTAGTCACCGCTTCCCTTAGTCACCACTTCCTTCAGTCACCACTTCCCTAAGTCGCCACCTCCCTTAGTCACCACTTCCCTTAGTCACCGCTCCCCTAAGTCACCACTTCCCTTAGTCACCACTTCCCTGAGCCACCGCTTCCTTCAGTCACCACTCTCCTAAGTCACCCCTTCAGTCACCACTTCCGTCATTCACCACTTCCTTCAGTCACCACTTCCCTTAGTCACCACTTCATTCAGTCGCCACTTCCCTAAATCACCACTTCCCTAAGTCACCATTACACTTAATGCGTAACTCGAGAGATATTTTCCCAAATCCCTTTGAACAGATACATAATACATACATTGACTGCTAGCAAAAAAATATACTGACAACACGTCATGGGCCCTGATGAGCTCTATTGTATGCATACAGTATACGCACATGATGATGTACATTAGGTGCAGCATGAATGAATCAAAATTTTCAGGTTCTGCCGGAAAGCTGGCTGCTCCATCACGAGAGTTATATGAAATTATGTTTGACGTTGTTATTTTTCAAATGATTCTCTGAGTTGTTTTTTCCCCGACTTGGTGGAATCTACATACAAAATCATACAAAGTCATTCAATTCATTGGAGGCTGTGCCCGCGCTCTTGAGCCTCGAGGTGGATGGAGTTCAGCAATGCATTGAAACAAAGAAGAATAGCATGCAATGAATCAGAGGACAGGAATTCATTTCAACTCATGTGTATTCATACAGATTCATACACAATATGCATCTATCTATCTGACCATCTATATATATATATATATACACATACATATACATACATAAATATATGTTCATGTCATCAACCATTTCGGCCAAATGACAAACAGATGGATGTTTGACACCATCAACACACATCGTCCCATATCGACACATATCGGCACTATCTGCAAGGCAGCCTCTGTCGCCGGCCTAACTGAAGGCAAGATACTGTACTCATTTGTACTGATCTGTAGATTTTGATTCAACGCCATCTTTCTGAACACCGACCGCTCTGTACTCTTCGATCCTCGTTCCTCGGGTTCTTTGCCTAAAGGCCTGCCCCTTGAGCCTGCGCTGCGAGACATTCAGAGTTTTGTCTCGAGGCGGGAATTGTTTCAGTTTTCGGGTATTTTCAGGCCCATCACGTTTCCGTTTTTTTTTAAAGAGTCTTGGCATGTTTTTGACAGTGGGCACAGCTCCATGTACTGTAGCCTTGATGCAAAGCAATTCAGACCCGCATATGCAAAGGGCACTGCTGGACCGTGCCAATTTTTAAAACATACCTCTGCAATCCTCTACAGGTCTTTGTGCATCTCTTACCATTCTGTTCTGTACAATTTCGGTACTATCATCTCTCTTGTTTTCTCTCGTTTGACATCTGACATCTTCTTTCTGACCTTTTGCAGGATCACAAACACAACCAGGGGAGAGATCGAAACTTCCGTGGTGCCTAGTGTGGAGCCCTGTAGAGTAAAGATCCTGGGTAGAAGATGGTAGAAAAGTGATTCAGAACTATTCAGAAACTTTTTCAAGTGATCTTCCAGTGGTCTTCATGAGTCTTCAACGAGACTCAAATTCGTCTATGATCTTTAGGCCTACTCAACGGATCCCTATCGACTGGAATCTGCAGTGCTGCTCCCAGGGGTGACAAAGTTGGCACAATGCGAGCGGCACCGATTGTACAAGATTCTTACAAGGAATCGCAAGGGAATTGGAATCTCTTTCTAAAGATGGCCTGTGATACGGCCGCGTAAGATTGCAATCTGCAAAGCGGAATTATTTCAGGGCTTACGCCTGGCAGCCGGGCGCCGGCAGAGAAACGGCCTGAAAGTCAGTGTAGGCAGCATGCTGCGCTCATGTTGAGGCTATATTGGCAATGTCTTAGACCATCCCAGATTGCAAAAATGCCTAACGTGTCGTCTGAAACCTTTCCAAAAGAGCTAGAGACGACGTTGCCAGCACGGCTCCAAAAAACACACCGAAAAAGGAGACACGGCAGCCCAAAACAAGCCTCTCGACTCTCGACCATGCCAGTGAAGGCCCCAACGTGTCGTCCGAATCCTATAAAAAACAATTCTTCTTCTCTGCTGCTGCTGCAGCTACTGCTGCTTGGCGCCAAACTGCAGCTCTCAGGCGTCCATATCGGACCCTTGGCCACACCGAAACAGCACATATTTTCGTGCCGAAAAGTCGTCAAAATCACGCGGAAAAATGCTGAACGTGTCGTCTGAATCTCTAGAAACCCTTACTGCGCAAAAAAGGCTCAAAGTGTCGTCTGAAGCCCTAGAAACCCTTAAAGGCTGTTTTTGTTGCTGTTGCTGCGCCAACAGAAACCTGTAATCCTTGACGCGCTCCCCCTTGCATCAGCCGGGGTCGGCGGATATGTAAGTGTTAAAGTGTTATGAATTGTCGCAACTTTTCACATGTTTGGGGCAGGCCGCCTGTTCAGCACATTCTGAGGTTCTCAGGCAGCACCCGCCGTTGGACAACTCATAGCTCGAACACACGAGCCCGGGGCTGCAGTTGTGCAGAACCACAGATGTTCAGCAACACATCCTAGTTCATTGATATTTGTTGATGTTCGTTGGTAGTCGTTGATCGAAGGACGTTTTTAGAAGTCAAACTTCCGACAATGTGGACATACGAAAAGCAGAGATGGGAAGAGGCAAAGAAGAGAAGAGGAGAAGAAAGAAGATCAGAAAAGAGAAAGTCTCCGA